CTCACTTCACTGGCGTGTTCCAATTATCCTTGGCCTTATGAATCCAGGACAGTCTCTGCCAATGTAATTAATGCTTACAATCAAAAACATGCAGTAAAGTGCAGAAAAAAAAGGTTTGAAGTGAATGCGGTGTGAACCTTTGCAAGTGGCGGAGCAGTCCGCTTCGGTCAGGAAATTATTTTGGTTCCCTTTACGCCCGTAATACTCAAACGTTTTGCAGCTCATAGAAGCCTTGTCGTAGTACCATCGAATAGCTGGTGGTGCTGGTGCTCCTGTGACGCCCACCGAATACGGTAGACCCTTGCATGCAGCCGGGTTGGTTGGTTCACCGGGACAGCACTGATACTCGTCCGGTATCAAGCCCAGATGGCACCAGTGATCCGGTCCACAGCTATTTTTTGCAAATGTGCAGCGTTTGGGCAAATTTGTGCTTGCATCCAACAATGGCACACCTTGTGGACACACATTTGTATATGCTAAAAATTGCTTTCATCGAAAAATTCGATAATTTTGAATATCCTGTTTAGAACTGTCTTAGAGTATCAATTTTCCTACCACAAGAGCCTACGAAATTTCCGAAAAGGTCTATTCAAAAGTTGTTTAGTATTGCTAGAAAATTTTGATGCTAGTTGAGATTGCAAAAGTTTTTAGGTGGTTTACTGTGAAAAGATAAGAGGTACAAAACGTGCAGAAGTAGTGTGACCAAGGAAGTTCTGAAGAGACGGGTCTTTTATAAAAATGTTATGCTATAAATTCCAAAGTGCTGTTATAGAGGCCGTCGGTTAAGTTGGATCAGAATATCACGGAAGCCTGAACGTAAGGGTCGCTGTGTAGCTTATTATTTGCTAGTTGGCTTTTTGTTGAAAATATTAAGCAAACCAGGGCAAGCCAGCTGGCATTGTTGCTTGGTGAGAAAATTATTCTGGTTGCCCATCATGCCTTTGTAAGTGAACGGGAGACATTGCCGGGCATTGATATCGTAGTACCATCGTTGTAAGTTAGCAGTCCCTGTGCCGGGTGCCATTGCTTGCTGACAGATTGCATAGCCTTCCACTGCAGCACAACTAACATTGTAAACTGGTGCTTCACAGTCAATTTTTATTGAACTAAAGAAAAGTTTGTAGAAGCTGGAACCTCGTCCGGGGCAACAGACAGTTGTTTGCGCTGTCGCGCCAATGTGGCACCAATAATTGCTACTGCACTGGTCTTGCTGAGCACATGTCCGAGGACGTCCATTAGCATCAGTTTCAGGGTTTCCCAACGCGCATGGATTCACAGTCACTAAAAGCAAGAAAAAATTGAACAAAAAGCTGTTCCACTGTGAGTGGGACATGGCGTGGGAATATGTTCATATCAGTTTCCTAGCTTTTCCGGCTGCTGAGTTGGAAGTGGGTGACAAAGTTCATTCGCCTCGGAAAACAAGCGCACTCATAGACAAACTATTGACAATATGCGTTTTTGCATTTGCATAAATATGCATGACTAGTCGAAAAGTATTTGAAATAATCGGCGGATCAAAACGATTTTGTAATGAATAGTTATCGGTGCAAGTACTTTCAAAATGAGTGCGTCTCCGCCTGAAGCGTCATCGAAATGAGAGTAATCAGAGCGGGATTCCCGGAATGAATGAACAGCTGATGAATGGTTTCCAAACTGAATGAGTTTTGTTGGCCACGTTCGGTCTATCTTGTGCGCAACAAATCAAAGTGCAAAAGGTTTTTTAGTGCAAAGATGAATTTGTTTTCGTTTGTTTCTACTGACCAATTAATCTTAGACCTGCAAATAACTTGGGATGGACGAAGAGAGGGCAGAAGAGCTGCACAGAAGGAAACGCAAATGATACAAACGGTTGAGACAATGAGGAAGTGCTAACCGGGACAAGCTTGCTCGCATTGTTGCTGTGTGAGGAAATTGTTCTGATTACCGTACAAACCACCATAAATGAATGCCAAACATTTCTGGGTGTTCTGGTCGAAGTACCATCGCTGTATGTTTGCCCCACCGATGCCTACTGCAAGCGGCAACAAGCAGATTGCCGCTCCTTGCACTGCAACAGAACACGGCACACGTGCAAACACAACAGCACTGTGAAATTTTTGATGATCATTAAGGCAGTACGCGCCGTTCCTGCTTCCAGGGCACCACTCCAAAAATCAAAAAAATCATATCAAAAGCAGTAATTCACCAAACAAAATCATACTTTTTTAAAAAATTGCTAGAAATCAACCAAGAATAGTTCCGCCTCGCCCAGCGATTACAGATCAATCCGTCAGATTTTATTAAAAATGTTTTTACAACATCAGGCCTTTTACCAAAGACATGCTTGCATATTGCCTTTTTCCAGTAAAATATATCATCAGCTTGTGAACAAAGCTGCTTTCGTGCAAAAGGTTTAGGGTTCGACTTCTCCAGTGGGAAACCAGCCGCCCAGCATGGTTCTAAGCAATCCTTGAAAGAGGGAACCACTACAGTGTTGCCAGCATTCGATTGCTGCTGATAAGTACTATATGAATCGTGCTGCTCTAGAATGCTTCCGCCACCAAAAAGAGCGAGTACAGAAGAGTTTTGTTTAAATGATATCGCCATCATTGCAAGAAACCTATGCTCTGAAGTGAAGTGGATTTTGTGCAGTGCAGTTGATAGAAGTTCATATGGACTGTCTGTGCACTAAGGATTTCTTTGAAAGGGAAGAGATGCAAATTTTAGCAAGTGCAACAGTAAAAATTATTATTTATCATCTTTTATAACTGCTCGAATTATTGCAAATTTCTAGTAACACGGCGAAACCTCATTTCTTGGTTTTCCATCAAACCCGCAAACTAACTTTTTCTTCCGATGAAACGCACTCTGAGAATCAATTTCGGAGGGTGGACAGCTAGCTTCATAACCAAAATAGTCAATTCACTGGCCACCTGAACTCCACCATTCCAAATCTCATTTTTTGCTGTTTTCACTTTTCCGAAAAACTATCGAAAA